TTTTGACCCCCTGCCCCAAGCATCCCTGCCTCTCCACATTAACAAATTAAGTTATTAGCTCTTAATGCCTGAAAATCTAGACCTCCTGTGCCAGAGGGTAACAGAGAAGCAAGATTAGGAAGATTTCTTCCAAAGCCTGGCATTTCCAGGCAATGTTTGCAGCTATTCATTCAGCCCAAGAATGTCAAGCCAAGAATGGGCCATGAGAGGAGGAAAAGCCCTGGCACAATTTGCAGTGAAAAAGATCCCTGGGGAACGTGGAAGTGGATGTGTGTACTGCTTCAGGACTTAAGAACTGCAGAAGTCAGGCTGGTCCTGATCAAAATCTTGATTTCTCTGCTCTCCAGCCCTTCAAAAAGGGAAATAAGCATTTTGAGTAGTACATGCTGCACATAAGAGTTTGCAGGATGAAAGTTTACCAGTGGGAAACTGAACACCTAATATTGGTAGTTTTACCCGTGGGGACGATGCTGCAGTGTGCAGGTGAGTGTGCTCTCATCACGGTCCTCACCTGCGATGGACTCACAGGGGCTTGCTCTCATTTAAGCCTGGACTAAAGAGCTCTTCCTTGCAGCTCTAGGGAGTGCCAGAATCAGTCTCCAGGGTAGTAGCCAAGAGAAGGCTAATGGGCACTTGTCTGGGGTTCGAATTTAGGGTACGTCCTTCGAGCAGAGGAAATGTGTGACCTGGCGAGCCGTGGTTTTACAGCTGCCTTCTTATGCTCAACTGCCAAAGGATCAGCTGTCAGCTGGGTTACAGTACTGCTGATTTAAAACTCAAATATGATTGTGTTTTATACCCAAGCTGATTTCCTCCTGATTTTTTTTCCTGCCTTAGTCTGCTAAACTGTGATTTAAGTGGTTTCCAGTGTGTTAAGATTTGTGTGTAGTCTTTGGTTGCTGCAAGTGCATATGGCACAGCTCAGGCATTCAAGATCTCGACAGGTAGAGCTCGACCATGCAGCTCTTGTCAGCAGGCTGAAGCACTGCCATTTCCCTCCCTGCTCATGAGCTGCTCAGACCCTTGGCGCATGGTTACCTCATGTGCCCAGCTTTGCTGTACTGGAGTGTTCTTCCCAGTGATCAAAAGGTTCAAAGACTTCAGTTAAATGAGCCACTGTGGAATGATGTTGTTGTTTTATAAACTCTCTTACAAAAATTGCTCCATCAAAGTGAAGGGGCCCACTATCTACAAGATGTGAGGTTTAATTAAGGATCTCTGAATAGAATTATGAATCTGACTCCAGGTTTCTGCATTTGGAAATTTCCATCATAAAGCATCCCCGTTCATCTACCCATACAGGCACTGAAATATATTGTCAGGTGGTATAAAACTAATCTGACTGAAGGACTTAGAAAGCTTGCTTTTTTATTTTAGATAGAAGTTTCTTATATGCCAATGGTTGCATGAAGAGACTTTATGCTGGGCATAAATTACATCCACTTTAAAATCCTTAGTATTAAGAGGCTGCAGAGATTTTTTATTATAGTGGTTGGTATCTTGTCACAGCATTTGTTTTGCTAGCAGTTCTGGAAAATTCCAATATTGTAAAAGTTAATATGCAGAGAAATCTGGGAAACAATTTTTGCTAGCACTCTGAAATAGGACCTTTCTTTGTATATCACAGAAGTGAAAATTAAGTTAGTTTTGATTCATGCACAAGCATGACTTGTATGTGGTGGAAAATTCATTTATACATTCAGAAGCCAGATCCAAATCAGTGTAAATTAGTCATCTCCTGTTTGCCTCCTTGTGGTTTACACCTGTGAAGGATGTGACCCACAGCATTGGAAATGCTTTCCAGAAATGGGAGATAGATTTGAGGAGAGGCTGCTGCTGAGAGGATTTCTTAGGACACGTGGTGGACGTAGGTGTGTGGTGGTGGGACAAGGATGGTGAGGACCCACCTGCTGCTGCAGGCTCCATGGTATGTCTATGGGAGGGATTTTTAGGGGAAAAGGATACTGGATAGCCTGCTGAGCAACTGGGAAACCTCTCTGTCATCCATAAACACGTGGGACTTGATTCCCCTTTCTGTGGTTTGACCACACTGGTGTGATTTAGCACGTCTGCGACTTCATATTGAAGTCGTCTGCTGCCTGTGACCTTACAGCTTTTACTTGTCAGACGTGGCTGTCCTCCCATCTCCATGTTGCTTGTGCAGCTGAAGAAAGCCATTGTGTTTCCTGGCATGGGTCTCCTCTTCATGTCCTAGCACATGTGGGGACAGAACAACAGGCTTAACGCTGGCACATGCTGCTAGCGTGGCGGTGATGCCAGTGGGAGCCTGGCTGACGGCCTCTCTTTGCCTCTTTTCCCAGGTTGTTGCACTGTCGTCGTGGAGTCTCTTGAGAGATTCAATTTACTATACACTGTCTGTTGTTGCACTCATCGTGGTAAGTTTTTGAAGGTTGTTCTTCTGTGGGAACCCACTTGACTACTGCCACCTGTAAAGAGAACCTCCTAAGGATTCACAGTCGTGTAGCTAAGATCCTAGCTCCAGTGGTTTTGTGCTTTTGCAGTAATGTACTCGTGATCCCCCTGGCTCTGTAGAAAAGCTTGGCTGGTGAGCAGGAGATGCAGGAGCATCCAGAGAGCTGGGGAGAAGCGTGGTGCCACAGTCCAGGCACAGCCACAGGGTGCAGAGCTGAAACCCTGTGCTGCAGACCTACCACCAACACTGGGTGGATGTGTCAGTCAATCCTCTCCTGACAGTGACCCTCACGACTTCCTAAAAAAGTCTAGGTGACCTGTAAGGAGGCAGCATTTGTGCCCAGAGGAGAGAGATTCTTAACAACTACAAAACATTTGTTTTCTCACACATAATTGGGGCACCTCATGTTGAGTGCACACTGGCAGCAAATCCTCTAATGAAGGCTACAGTTTCAGTAGTTCTTAGTGCTGCTCCTGTTCCAGCTTCCATCAAGCTCAGTAAGTCCTCCAAATCTCTCAGAATCAGGCTGACCAGGGAAAAAAAGTGTTAGCACAAGTGTTCAGATAAAGACACTGCTGTGAGTTTAGCATTACCTTTGCAACCAATACCAGAGTCAGGAAATGGAAAAATTGAGTTTCTGGAAACAATTGTTACTTTGTTGTTGTGTTGGTTTTTGGTTTTTTTTTTTTTTTTTTTCTTCCCCCCTGGCCTTGTCTATGCCCCTAAATTCCCTAAGAAAGGAGAGATAACTTCCATATGTAAGCAAGAAGGGAACTTGAGAGTCAGAAGATGAACGCTTTTGTTTCTGAAATTTGCACTGCTTTTATTAATTGCAGTTTCAACAGTATGTTTTGTTTTACCCTTATTCTGCACCTGGCTGTGTACTGTACATATTCTGTAGGTGCTAAGGCCTATGTCCGTCTCATCTCAGAGGGTTTGCCTCAAGCTGTTGGTACTTCTCTTCCCTCTGCTGCAAAGTCAGCCTTTTTGCACCTGAATGTCTCCATTTAAGGGCTGAGGGGAGGTCCCCATGAAGCAGAATTTGTGTTCCCCCTCCCTATCTCTCAGTTTTCCTGGGTAGAGAGATAAACAAAGGAAGGCAGGGGTAAGATCGGCTCAGCACTGATTGGAAGTTAATAAAAATAAATTATATTGTTTAACAGTGAACAAAAAGCAAGAATGGAGGTAGATATATATACAAAGATGGGAGCAATACAAAGTAAACACAAGGTCTATAAACCTCAAATCTCAGATGGCACACGATTTTCTCAGAACTGTGTGGGATCAGGCATGCTGATGCTCCAGCACATCAAGACAAAGAGCAAAAAGGGCAAGAGAGAGAAACTCCCTCTTCTTGCATCTCTTAAAGAGACGGCAGAGGAAGGGGGAGGGAGTATCTGCTTCCCCCTGGGACCCTCCTGGGTCCCAGAGATCACCTGTCCCGCCCCCCCAAGCCTCAAACCACAACACTGTTGAAAAATAACTTTTCTATATAATTATTAGCAATGAACTGCAAAACAATTATTTTTTTATTTTGACAGCTCGACAGTAACCTCAGACCAAAAAGTGTTTCTTAGCAGCAAACCACGCCCGCTAATTGTAATAAATTACGCTGCACGAGTTTGAGGACATCTAGGTGGCATTAGTTTACTCCACGAGAGGCACAGATGTGGGCTGTGCCTGGCATTTAGCCTCCTATGTTTGAATTGAGTGTTTCATTTACTGCTTGGTGGCAGGCAAGCTGAAAATCTGTCGTATCTGTCATCAGTTTTTAAATTCTTTAAGCAAGGCAGGTTTTTTTCGTGGCTTGTTCAGCCTTGTGGTTGTCAGTTGCTTCAGGATGTTGGGAACCATTCTCTGTCTCTGGTATTGTGTCCAGTGCACCCCTGAAATTTCCAGCTATGTATCCCATGGAGTGAGGAATTCATATGGCTCATTGAACAGACATCTCTGTTATCCTTAAGAGTTTTCTCCTATACTTTAGTGCTGCGTAAGCTGCTTTTCATAATAACAGAACTGCGGCAGTCCTTTTCTTTTGTGAGTATACCCCCTAGTATCAAGGTACTGTTTTTTTCCTCTAAGCTTTGGGTTAGCTTCCCTCCAATGTGTGCCTCGTCTTCTGCTCATCAGCTGTGAAGTTCAAGGTCCACAGGCAGCTAAGGCAGCAGGACTGTGCAGGATTCTGGCCGTTAGTGGAGGCTTGAGGGCTTTGCCAGAACTCCCACTTCCATTACAGCGCTGCGTGGTTAATTGTGTGTGGGGAGACGTGGAGCATGTCCCACTTCTATTCAGCATCACCCCACAGAAATCATCATAAATTACTTCTGTTAGAGGAAAACAGAGAAAGGTGGAAGTGAAAATTTTTTGAATGGTTAAAGATTTAGCTCCCAGATGATTTACCAGTCCTTTAATATGCAATATTTTTCCCCAGTTGATGGCAAATGAGGATTTCTCCTTTCAGAATCACTGCATCAGTTTAGGAAGTTTCTCCTCCCATTCACTCACCCAGGGACCCCTGGCTTCACAGTGGCTTGGATATTTCCTATCCTTTTAAGGCAGAATCAAATGTAGGTGGCAGCACATTGTTATTCAAATACTGACTCTCAGCATGCTTGCAGTTCCCCCTTGGTTAGATTTCTGTGTGCCTTAAATTTTAGAAGTCACTTAAGCTCTTCACCATATAGGGATAATTTGCCATATCAGGGCATCAAGACTTTGCTGCGGCTGAAATAAAAATTATCTTTCTTGAGGGATGATATTGCTTGTAGAAGGTTGTTCTCTTAGTATTTTAAACAGCAGCTTGTGGTGGTGTATTATAAATTGCATACCACTGGTGCCTTTGCTAATCATAAATACACCTGAGGAGAAATAGATAAATTTCTGATGTTGAGATTCAGCAGCTTTAAAAAGCTTGATAATCTGCTGGGTGAATCAATGTAACTTTGTTGTCTTCCATTTCTGCTAGCAAAGGAGTTGCAGTGCTGTGGTAATGAGCAGCAGAGCAGCATAAACTCACCTGTTTGGTGCTCCTGGACATTTGATAAGAAAGAGTGAGCTCTAAATCACAGGGATTAGAATTGGATAAATCACATATACCATGCTTACCTTGCCTTGATTCAGCCCAGTAATTTATTTATTTATTTTTAATCTTAAAATAATGTTGTTCCTTTCCTGAGGAGGCTTGCAGAGTGTTGCTGTGAAAGCTTCAGCATCCTTCTGCAGGTGTGGTACAAGAGCTCTCACAGTAGCTGAAGTCTGCTAGTGGTGAAGAAATAATGCCCTGGGCGCAGTTTTCAGCCAGCAAAATGTCACGGCACCTGTGGAGCTGGTGTAAATGTGTGAACCCATTGCCCAGTTGCCCCTGACTAGTGGGCCGGGGGACAAGGCTGTGTCTTGGGCAGGGCACGTGGTGTGCGGGAGAGAGGACGTGCGTAGCCCTGGTGAGAGAAACTGGGCCTGGAGAAATTCAAAGGTTGGGCAGGAGCGCAGTGCCTAAGCAGACCAGAGGGCTTAATCCCATTGCCCTGAGTTGCTCTGTTCCATTCTCAGGTGATGAGCTGTTTTTCACTAATTTCATGTATAACACGCCTATTTTACACCTTTTCTCCACAGTTTATTTATGACGAAAAAGTATCCTGGTAAGTGTATCCCATTTCTTTGTTTTCTGGTTAGACCACAGAAGCTGCAATAGGTAGTAGGGTCCATGTGGAGCAGAGGGGAAAGTTACCAAGTTGTGCAGGTCAGTGCAGGCAGCAGTTTCCTGCCAGGGGAGAAGCTCAGCCCCGGGCTGGCGATGTGCTCAGCAGAGGCTGCCGCCTGCCTGCGTGACAGTGTGCCCGGGGTGTCGGACGCCTGGGGATGCAAAGGGCCACCCAAGCAGTCATAAATAAATGTGTTCCAATATTTGCATTTTTAATAATTTAATTAAAAAAGTCCCAAACTCTTAAGGCAACATTAAAAAAGGCGGTGTTTCGTTTAAAGAAAGAAAAAATATTAATATCCCCATGAACGTGCTTAACTGTACTGTAATAGGTCGGGTAGGCTAGGCGGGCTTCAAACACTTTTAAAAGTGTACTTCTAGTTGTTTTGCTTTGATAGTTTTTTTTTCAGCACCTCTCGGGGCTTGTGGAGTGACAGTGGCAGCTTTGATTTCACTCACAGCCAGTATTATTTAGATTACAAGCACTAGGGGGAGTCAGGCTCTTTGGGTTGCGTGTTTTCTTAAACTTGTTCTCACTGGGGGATTTATGTGTAATTTCAAAGAAGGATTTCTGAAACACTGACTTCTGCAATGGCTTGTTTTGCTTTGTTTTTCTAACTTAAATTGACTTAAGGCCCAATTGTATTTGACTGTGCCCTTCGGTTACAACACATCAATGCGGAAGCTGAGTGTTGAACTGCCAGAAGCAGGAAATGAGGTGTTGACATGGTTGATGGAATGTCTCCAAATCCTTAAAAAGAAAATGACCTGTGAGTTTTAGTACATAGCGCTCTGGTAATGGATGATTTCCACAAGGAGTAGAAGCTTGCTGTGGGGAGCTAGGTAGAATACTGTCTTTAGTCACTTGTTCTTAGCTGGTGAGTTGATTTGGTCAAGTAAAACCAAAGCAGAAGTCAAGAAAACAAAGGAGGTATCACACGTGTGTGTGAGTCATTTCTTTATGCATCCCCTTTTCTAGAGGTGTAAGACAGCGCAAGCATCCAGCCTTTCCAAGTCTGTGGCATGACAGCTGGGGACATGGTTGAGCTCAGGCAGCTGATGGCCGTGCCCTGCTCTGAGGTATTTTCTGTGTCTCTCTTGTTTGCAGGTGGGAGTCCTTAGTCTTAGTGCTGATGTACATCATCTACATCGTCATCATGAAGTAAGTCCAGCATGCGCTCGGCTTGCTCAGGTTGCAGGGCTCCCTGCTCCCGTGCCATTCCAGAGCTTGCCAAAGTAACTGGAGAGATCTGCAGGGCTTCCACTGCACCACCCAACCTGTGTGGCAGCAGCACCTCCAGCAGCAGGGGTTAAAGCACCTGGCCTTTTTGTGTACCCATCTGTTACTTATCCTGATGAGGCAGGAAGGGGCTGCTTATCCCCAAAGTACAGATCTGAGGATCGGACATCTAAAGGTAGATGGTGCTGTGTGAACTGACGAAGGCTCACGCAGCAGGTCTGTGACAGAGCAGAGGACCAAATCTATCTCCAGTTGCTACCCAAGCAGCCTCTTCTGACATCATCTTAGCATCCCAACTCAGAAATAAACATGTGGGAGATTCGATCTACCTTTTATGGGTGCAGAACTCCACAGCAATTTATTCTCGCTTGCTTGGAGACCCATAATAAAACTACAGCGCAGTCAACATTGATTTTCTGAGCATCTGAGCTGTGTTGCACTCAAGTTCATGCTAGCAAAGCTACTCTATTCTGCTGCTTGGTTCCCCTCCTCCTGCCGTGTTTTTAAAAGCCAATATAAAGGAAACCCAGATTTAAACTGGAACATTCAACAAAACCTACCAGCTGCCAAGCACACCAGTGACCTTGTCTCAACAAGTAAGAGTAGAGATTTGTTTTGAAATGATGAACAGAGTAAATATTGTCAAAGCAGTTCTCAGTGAGAACAGCAAAACAACCAGGCTGGGATGAAGGGAACACGAGTCAGAATTTATCTCACTTCTCATAATTAGAAACTTTTTCTATAACATGGAGGGTAGCTTCACCCTTGCAACAATCCTCTGACCAGCAAAACAGAGTTGTAATCTCTGAATCTACAATGTGGAGTTGTTTTGTTTGTTTTTTTGTTTTGTTTTGTTTGTTCGTTTGTTTTTGGTTTTTTTTGTTTGTTTTTGTTTTTTTTTATTCTGAAAGCAATGCTGTAGTGTGAACAGATATTTCAGACCTGTTTGGATATAGCTGGGGAGGTTGTTGGCCTGATGAGGGACCTTGGCCAGGTGTTCACAGTGGTCTGCCCTTGCCATCGACTGTCATGGCGAGGTCCTCGGCTTGTGTTTGGGTCAGTTCCTGGCTACTCTAAATGAAATAAGAAATAAATATTTTAATTTTTTTTTACTCCCAAAGTTGAGATGGAACATAACATATGGTCTTGTGTTTCTGTGGTAGGTCTTCTCAGGTAAAACAGCACTCATGCTCCAGTGTTATGATGTGATAAAAAAATCAGTTTTGATGATGACAAGAAACCATATTTGCTCTACAGAATATTAATGACGCATCATACATAAACACCTGTCATTCAAGATTCATGTCTTGTATCTTTCATAGCCTTCTGGGTATGGAGGGGTTGCATTGTGTACAATGGAATTGCAGCTCTGGCATACTGTGGCTGGATTTCCTTAAAACGAGAGGGGGATTTCTTCCCTCCTTGAGCTGGATCGCAAAGGATATGAGTCCAGGAAAGGAAGAGTGTCAAGAAAACCACATAGAAACAGCAAAGGTACATCTAGAGTGTGTTTCATTTATGCAGGTACAACTCAACCATACATCACTGCTTTGAAAGGAGGACAAAAAACTCTGCGAACATGGTCAATGGTTTAGCAAATAACACGGAAATGGACGATAACAGCAACTGCGATGCCACAGTGGTATTACTAAAGAAAGGTAACTGTTCCAGTAAGTCACCCTGCTTGCTTGCATAGTTATGCATGTTTACAAGTTTTTCCTCTAGACCTGTGGTGTGGGCTGCTTCTGTCTCCTTGAAATGGGTGGGGAGGTGGACCTTTTGTAACCCCCATGCCCAGATGGCCATGGCTCCTGTGCCTGGGGGCACGGTATGGTGCCCCCAGCCACCACATCCTTTGCCTCTGGAGGCAGCTCAGGCCTCTTCTGGGTAATTCTTGCTGCTGGACAAGTGCCTCACTTGAAAGGACTCCTCCAGCTTCAAGCCTAACTTGCCCGGGGCTACTTATTTAGAGTGTGGCAGCCATGCTGTTAAAAGTCCTCCTATGGGCACTGTTACTTTGCACTGAAGATGGTTATTTACATCTAGTAAATGAAACAGAGTGAAATTTAATTTATCTGAAATTTGACTCCGTTCCAAAGTGGCATAAACCGAGGGAGGAAAAAAGCACTACTTACGCTGGCATCCACTTCCTCCCCAGTGAAGGGAGAGCAGGGACTCCGTGTTGGTCTGGGTACTGTGCTCTTACTGTGCGTGCTGTCTTGAACGTGGACAACTTTTCTGTGTAAAAAATCTTAAAGTGGATTTCACTTTGGCTGAAATTTGCTCCCATTTGACTTTAGTCATGATCACATATAAAAATTACTGTATTTCTTCAGCTTAAAAAAAAATTCAGCTGCTCTGTAGCTCAGCAGCAGTAGCTCGATGTGCGCACTTGCAAACATGTGCTAAGTTGTATTTACAGAGAATAATTCTATAACCTTTGCAACAGTCAGAAAGCATGTGCAGTAACTACTTGGAATTTATATTCACCTGTCCTCGGGAATAAAAACTCCTGCCCCACAGTCTTGGGTTTAACTTGAGAAGGAGCTCTTTCTTGTTGAAAGCAGTCCTTTCTTTAGTCTCTGACTCAGATGGGCTGCCCTTTTTGGTTTGCTGGGCTGAAAAAACATTAACAAAAATAGGTCTCTTTTCCTACAAACAGAAACACGTAGTCTGTGTGCAGTAAGCATCTAAATGTGAAATGTGGAGAGCCTTATTTGCTGACATCAAACCCTTTGAGTCCGGCAGAGGCCAGCTATCATGTTACTGCCTTGTTGCTGAGGCAAGGCTTTTGTGAGTGCTGTGCACTTTGATTTGGGGAAGTTGCTTTTATGGGAACAGCTTTTCTTAGCCTGGGGCTCTCAACAGTGAAACTGTGCTGGCAAGGTGACCACACTCTGTACGAGTCAAGCCAGACTGGTAAAACTCAGTAAACAGAAGCTCAGGCCTTAGTCATCTAGGTTTGCTCGGTGGCCTCAGGGTTACGCACAAACTTGGCAGTGCTGACTGTGGGATTTGGGTTAAATCTCCCCAGAATGTGTTTTTGCATGACAAAGTTCAGCTGTTGGGTTTTGTGTTTTTGTTTTGGACACTTCCGGTTACTCAAACTGGCTGAGGAAGGAAGACAAAAGGATGGCTTTATTTTCTTACAGGTTGTTCCTGTATGTACTTGTCAGTGGGCCACTGGAGGCCCAGACAAGTGAGTGGCACTGCTGTGCACAGCAGCCAGCAGCACAGGTTGGCAAACAGCACCCATTGCAACAGGTTGCCTGAGGGTTTCATACACTACTCTCTGTTTTCTGAGGGCTTTTCTGAACAGAGAACCAAAAGGAATCAGGCCAAAAGGTTTCTCTGTTTGGGGAATTTCTCCCAAGTGTCTTACAGGAAATGCCAGTATGGAAGAAGTCACAAGGAAAAGCTGTCTGGCTGTTTTGGGTTTTTTTTAGTATGGAGGATCCCACTTATCTACCTCAATCCATGGAAACCGCAGTCAGAAGGAAAAGTGACACTGAGGTTGAGGAGATACTCTTCTGTAAGACTAACAGTGATGGTAGTATAAATAGTAATGCCATAAAATATTTGCTGGTGTTCAGCACTGAGTTTAATAAACCAAAGCAGAGATGTGTCGGGGAAGACCTCTGCTTTCCCTGCTGCTGAGTCCCAGTCCTAGCCCAGAATTCACAGCCTGAGTGCAGAAAGGACAGACATGGGCACTGTGCCCCCCCGAGGCAACGGGCATTGGAGCAAGGTTCAAGTACCTCTCCCTGTCTCCTTGTTCCTTTGCTCGTGCACCGTGCATCGCGCCCCATGGCCTGGCACGAGCTGGTGCTGCCATGAGCAGCATGTCCCAGCTGTGAGATGCGAGCCCAGGATGCAGGAATCTGCTTTTCAATTTGCACTGGTACCCTGCAGGGACAATTTCCTCACTCCTGTGTCCCCTTAATGGTGAGTGAAGCCAGTAGCCTCAGAGAAGTGCAGGTTATAGTGGTGGAATTCATGCAGCTTCACTGCAGCAGTGTTTCTGCCTTTGTGGCATAGCTGCTGTGGAATCAGCAATCTGTCTAACGCAGGCCTGTGATGAACTGTGCAGAGCAGGCTCAATTCTCTGCAGTGTTTGTGAGTGGAGGTACCTTGCTGGCCATTTATTTAAAGACAGAAACATAAGACGGAAATTAAGGATAGAGGAGTCATATTTTGAATGGCAGTAGCTGAAGGAAAGGTTCTTACAAAGGACTTCTGGAACCCACAGGTTTATTATTCCGAGAGCCGGGCAGGGCAGAGAAGCAGACTGCTGGAAGAAGACCTCAATTTCTCTTTGTTCCTTGGCTGCAGGAAATTTCCACCGTAAAGCCTCAGTGATTATGGTGGATGAGCTGCTGTCTGCCTACCCACACCAGCTTTCATTTTCTGAGGCTGGGCTCCGGATCATGATAACCAGCCACTTCCCTCCCAAAACTCGTCTCTCCATGGCCAGCCGCATGTTAATCAATGAGGTATGTCTTTTATCTCCCTGGCCCCCGCTTCTCCTTCTGGATTTGCCTTTTCCTGTAGCACTGTCTGGGTCAAAATGGAACTCTTGTGTTTCTTCTGGATCCCTGGTAGCATTTTCCTGGATTTTATCCTTCTGACACTGACTTTACTCAACTATCCCTTGTTATCTGTCCCCATGGGGATTTTAACAGAGCAAGTTTCAAGTCATTACATGGTTATGTTATCTGTAGCTGTTGCTCACAGGATGTGCCCCTGCCTTGATCCGACATGAGTATCACTTGCACTTATTTAATAATAAGGTACTCCACTGAGTCTGCACTTAGTCTAGGAGTACTCCTGGAGTCAATCCCACAGCCACTGGTCCTTCTCTTATAGACGTTTCATGTGTGAAATTTACTCTAGTCATCTGCAAGCAAGCCTCACTTTATAACTGATCAAAATTGATCTATTTTGCTTTAAAGGCAAACTCTTAAAGAGCTCTGCACATCTTTCTTTTCTCCGTTCCTCCCGTTCTCTTTAAAAAAAGTAAGTTTTAAAAAATTCTGTCTTTCAGCAAGACTTTGTGGTTCTGTTTACAGAGACAAAGGCTGATCAACAGCAGGACTTACACCAATGGTGAGTCAGAAGTAGCGATCAAAATACCTATCAAGCATGTGGTTGAGAATGGAACAGGCCCCAGCAACTCTGCTGAACGAGGTGTGAATGGTGCTCGGCGGGACGAAGACGTGGCTGAGGCTGGAAATGAGACAGAAAATGAGAATGAGGACAACGAGAACAATGAAAATGATGAGGAAGAGGAAGAAGATGATGACGACGATGACCATGAAGGGCCATACACGCCTTTTGACCTACCAGGTAAGAAGCTTCTGGGTTTGTGTTGTTCCAGAAAGCAAAACTCGATTTGGGTGTGCCAGAAAGCATCGCAGACATGTTGAGGTAGACATCTCTCTGAGAGCTCCCATCAGCCTGCACCTTGCAGTGTAGTTCCTGGTCACAGTTAAAAGATGAGAGGAACTGGGAAACAGCAGGAACTTCTCAGGATGCAGACTCTTGGGCTTGGACATGCCTCTGCTGCAGCTCGTATGTTGGCCCAGCACTGCTGTTGCAGTCAAGGGTGGAGAAGCAGCAATCTCCACAGGGTGGTTCCTGCCCCACAAACCTGGGTCACCCTCTGGAGAGACACGTTTCGGTCTGCTGACTGTGGAAGAGGCTGCGGATAGTGGGACTGCTGGCAAGGTGCTGAACGCAGTCAGACCTGTCTGCATCTAGGCATTACCTTTGCTGGAAAATGAGGTGCCTTGGTGGTAAAGTGTAGTGCAAGTGGTGGCAAGGTGGTGGTGGTGCTGATGTGGAGTGGAGACAAAAGAAGGTCCTGGGTGGGTGCTTCTGCTCCCTGCTGTTATCTGTGCACAGCCACAGTGTCTTACCACTCTTTCTGGAGGGCTTAGTAAGTCACAACAGCTACATGATGTGTGAGGAACCACTTGTGCCTTGGGTTGCTGAGCACTGTGCCTGCAGGATGGAGGTCTGTTGACTGAGTCCCTCTGACCCCATTGGGGCTCTATTCCTGGGATGATTATAATTTAGCCCCACGCTACCTTTCACTCACTGTTGCCGCGGGTGGCAAGGTCTGCTGTGTTGCAGACAAGCCAGAATACTGAAGGGGCTGGTGCTGCCCTTTATGGGTGAGATACGGTTTTGGGAACTGCTGTTCAGATCTCCTCACTCAAACAGTGTAGCAGTAGTTCAAGAGAGGAAAATAATGAACCTTGAAGAGAGTAATTTCAATGTCCTCTGGACCATGACACTAGATTCATCATATGGGAAAGGTTGGCATTGGCCTCTGGAGATCTCTGGTTCAAACCTCTGCTCAGAGCAGGTTGCCCAAGGCTTTGTCCAGTTGAGTTTTGATAATGTATAAGGACAGAGCTCTCACTGTCTTTTTGGGTACCCATTCTAATGTTTTACTGTCCTCGTGATGGGGGGGAGGGGGGAAAAAACAGCACAACTTATGGTAGCATCTATTCTGAATTTCCCTTATTGCAAATTGAGTCTATTGGCTCTTACAATTTCCTTGTGTATTTCTGTGATGGGACGGACTCCACCTTTTCTGTACCCTCCCATTGGGTGGTTGAAGATGGATCAGATCTCTTTCCAGAACTTATTTTTTATATGGTACCTGTAGGAACTTGAGCCAAGGAGGGTAGTGGCTGTGCTCTGACCCATTGCTTAACAAACTCTCATGGAGGCCCTTCATACTCCTTCCCTGTGACCCTCTCTGCCATCACACTGTGACCTTCTGAACAAGGGGTGTCTTGTCATTGTCTGTTTGGACAGTAGTTAGGCTGAGGTGTCTCTAGCATCTTGCTTGTTGATATTGACAAAATAATTACATTCTGGACTAAAGCAAGTTAGAATTGTGATTGTTTCCCTCTTGTTGTTTTACAGCTGGCAAGATAGAGATCTTGAAGTGGCTCTTCACGTGGCCATTGAGTTTTGTCCTGTACTTCACAGTGCCCAACTGTAGCAAACCCCACTTGGAGAAATGGTTCATGGTTACCTTTGCTTCTTCTACCCTCTGGATTGCAGCTTTCTCCTACATGATGGTGTGGATGGTATGTACCAGCTAAAGCAGAAACCACAGCCTGGGTGATGCAACAGCAGTGGGTTTTGTCAGCTTAGAGAGATGCGTAGGAAGTTCTACATGCTTGATTTTTTAGGTAAGAAACTAAGTGTGCTTCCACTTCTGCTAAACCCGTCCACACTCAGAGAAGAAAATTAGGAACCAGTAGCCAAGGCCTTTACACCTGAGTCAGAGCTGGATTAGTTACACCTAGATTCTTTAACGTGGGAAAAAAGTACACTTGCAGCAGTTTGACACTCCCTTGTCATGCAGGGCAGTGTAAAGAGGCCCTGATGCTAGTAAGAATCTGGCCTAAATAACTTTTCCTTTTCTTGGAGCAAGCAAGCTTGAGAAACAGAGTGTGACTAATAACACTTTGAACTCTACATGAACAAAAACATGAGACTCAGCCAAATTCT